GTATAATGTGCGTGAAATTTAGATAGGTTATTTTCCTTACAAGCAGTTATAAAACGATATAAATATCAAGCATTTGTTTAATGCAGTTGCCAAGATATTGGCACGGAAACGCATAATTAACATCGAATATGCATTTATACATTTGCAGTTCTTGTTCTTCAATTCTATATGGTTCTTCATTTCCACGAGAAACATGTTGCGTATCGTAATTGAGGGAGAAAGCATAGCCCTTCTACGGAGCCTCCTTTTTAAATTTGCCATTCTGAATTCAAGATTTTATAAAATTAATACAGGTTTTGTATTCAATTAATATTGAAATGAGGTCATTCATAGCTAAATATATAATTATTACATTGAGAGTAGCAGTCGAGGAGATATAATAATTTTAGTACAGCTTAAAAATGTATGCTTTACAGAACGGTGATTTGAAATAAGATCGGGTTGCCGCTTACCGGTTGTAACTTTTAAGTTTTTATATTTTAAAGCCATGTGCCTAAATCTTGTCTGGAATAAACAAAATTGCTACTACTTCGAAACTATAAATTCTAGACCTAAAAAAAAGAAAAAAAACATTGTAGTTTAGGATCTGTTCAACTTTACATTTGTCGTACTGCTGCATAGGTCAAATTTGATGATATAATACAACTAATTTTATGACACCGTGCTTGAAGAATTTTAGACACACAGTATCGATGCATACGTTTAGTTGCATTTGATATTATCGTCTAAAAATGTTGCTTAGCTAACAAGTCGCGTAAGCACAGATCGGGGACCTTGTTTTAGGATATTGTTCACGAAACGGAGGTCAACATCTCCCACGTTGGCTGCGCGCTAACAGCGATTACATGCGGAAATATAGAGTGAATTAAAAATGTCGACCAGCCAACCTCTGTTTGATCTTATGTGAGATAACCCAGTTTCTTGACACTACCACTCCTGGGGAATTGTGCGATTTTGCTCGCGCTTCCTTCCGTTTCATGTTCTCATGCACTCCCCATATTAGACTCTGTAATCTGTCTTTTTCAGGTGACCCCTGTGCCCCAAGTCAGTACGCAATAATCGATGACTTTCGGAGACATCCTGAATACACGTCAGCAAGCACCAAAGACTGGCTGTGCGACAGATATCTGATGCCCGGCTGGTACAGATTTCAGGTCAACGGCTCGAATGCAATTGTGCCCACCTTTTGTCCAAATGTACGTTTAATGTTTTTTTTTTAGAATGTGTAACACATGCATCTTTGTATTTCCTGACGACTGCCAGTTTCCATGCCTTCTGAAATGAATTTAGTCGAGGCAAGTATTGAAGAATGATAGCGACGTACAAGGAAGCCATATATTTTTTACTTATTCGAAGGTGTTTTGAACTGTGATTAAGATGTAACGAAATTACGATGTCTTAACGATCCCGGCGTCGCTGAAAACAGGGGCTTTAAAAACACCATCTTGGTATACTTCGTCTCACCCTACGATGGACTAAAGGCAAAAGCTACGGACCGCCAGATCCAATCACGAGACACTCAGAAATTGTGCGGTATTTCGCTTCGATGCACGTATCGGTGCCCGCGTTTCGGATCACTGATAAGGGTACGGGTGGACAGTGGTTCGAATCGAAGAGCACTGAGTGACTCAACAATTTTACATCGCAAAGAAAGCCACGACATATATGCTCTTTGCAGCGTCGAAGCTATAGAAATGATGCACCGCTTTTGGATTCGAGCATTATTCGTCCACCCCTAATCAATGTTAAGCGTGTCATAGTATAGCGCGGAACGTGATTGGACCTGGCGGCCCGTGGTTTTGGCCTTTAGTCCATCGTAGGATGAGACAAAGTATAGCACTGGGTTTGCATTCATTACTTTCACTTTTTCACATAATTTATGGATGACTTTACCGGAAGGGCTCAGTAGCATTCAATCCGCTATTCCAAAGAGGAGAAGCCACTGATTAATCGAAATCGTACATTTGGTAATCAATCGAAGAACCCAAATCATGGCAGCGTGACCGGTGGCCGCTAACTGCATGTTCACTTAAGTTCATTACAGCCTAAAATGGTCTGCTCAGCTGTATTAACCCTCATTCGTAGTTTGTTCTTATTTCACACGTATTATACCAAGAGTCAGCAAAGCGACCGCTACCATGTTTGCCATAATGCAGTTAAGAAATATATATATATATATATATATATATATATATATATATATATATATATACAAATTGACCGCGCGTTTTTTTGTTTTTTTTTAATTTGAAGTGATAAATATTTGCATTTATGGGAGTATACTTAGCCAGCATAGCATTCACTTTCTTTTTTTTTTTTTTCCAACTATATTCCGTCTCACCCTACGATGCACTAGGGCCCGAAGTTCGGCGGGCGGAGCACTTCCTCAGAAAAGCTTCTATCCACATTGCAAAAGAGTGCTCTAGAGAAATTCCGATACGCAGAGTACGAAGAGCGCTAATCTTACGCAAATGTGGTTCTCTGTTGTGATGGCGCACTATTTAATATTGGTGCAGTAAAGGTAGATGGTATTTAGTTTCGTAAACATTCAAGGCCATATTTTGTAAACATGTCAACTGTTTGGAGAACTTTGAGGGCGCGCAGTCAACGCTGCGTTTCGCCTTAGCCATAACAATCCAATCCAATCTTTGTGTACGCACCCGGATATCCCCCTTCCGCACGTGGTGCGTACATACGCTCCCGCGTTGAACACTTGGTCCGACTTATCTTCATTTTTTAAAGGCCACTGGTTCTGATCCGGGGTTCTCTTTGCCACATCGTTTCCAGGCGGTATTTAATCCCTTCAGTAGTCTTCTGTGGTAGCAAGCAAACAGAGCAGCCGCGAGGGATCGAGAAGCAGACGAAAACATCGCCTCCGCATGACGCTTCTTGGCGCACTGATACGTACGACCGAGCAAATATACCACGTGGTTTCCAACCGGCTCGTGATTGGACCTGGCGGCCTATAGCAATGGGTTTTAGTCCATCGTACACGCTGAGACGGAGTATAGGGGTTGATGCGGCTATCGGTTTGTTGAACGACGTTTTATTGACATATCATTTCGTCGACACAGCGACGTTTCAAAAACAGTTCGTTCCATCAAAAGGTGGCCGCGTTCGTTCCACCGACACGTCTTGCGACGTTTTGTCGATAGCATTTTTCTGTGTATACATCGCCTCGGCCGCCGACACCCTGATGTTATAGCCTAACTTGCCGAACCTTTGGCGGTTCCAACAAGGCTTGGTACCAAACTCGGGCCTGAGATTATAATTCCACTTTTTCGCGAAGGGTGGTCGCGCGCAGTGCAGTCGGTTTAGAAGCCTCTAGAATCAGGGTTCAAGAATTTGTTTTTGCTCTCTCCGAGCCACCTGCGCGGCTCCGCTATACACTATAAGAAATGCATGCACGTCTGCTTACTTGCAAAACACTTAAAAAGCCAATTTCTGCGATCTACGAAATGAGCTCGGCGAATGATGAGGAGGAACATCCGTTTAGACCTAAAAATGAAGTCTACGCTGTGGCATTACGCAACGCAAAGTGTCATGCTTGCATTGCGTAATGCCACAGCGCAGACTTAATTTTGAGGCCTAAACAGACGTTCCGCCTCATCATTCGCTGAGCTGATTTTGTAGATCGCAGAGATTGGCTCTTTGAGTGTTTTGCGGGTAAGTAGACGCGCAGGCATTTCTTAGAGTGGAGTTCCAGCATATACTTCCAGCGAAGCCATCGACCCAATCTAGTTAGTAAAAAAAGTCTATTGTCAATGAAACATGACAGTGTCAACAAAAAGTGCGTCCATGAAACGTATGCCGACGAAGCGTTGTCCACGAAACATGTTTCCGCGAATTCGACAAAACAATATGAACCCAAATTAGCACAATAAATCAACAAGAAAAAAAAAAAAGCTTGAAAGGAAATTGTTTTACTGTTTTGCACTGTACAACTCCCTGCCAACCTTCGGGCGCGAGTTGCACTGTTCTCAAAGCTAATCTCAAAGTTTTTTTTTTTTTTTTTTTTTTAAGCGTTTTTTTAGTGCGCGTGGACAGACGCCGACAGACGCTTACAGAGGCGTGTATTCGCTCGTATGTGATGCATGATGGGACGCTAGGACGACACTTGATGTCAGCATCAGATGGTTGTCGCTCGAGGAAGTCATGGGCCGAGAAACTAAGGGAGGGGAGGAGGCAAGAGGGGACATCAGAAAACCGTGCTGTGGTTCGAATGATTAGGGAATAGTAGACTAAAGCTTCACTGCACTCATCGAACACGTTAGAACGCGGAACTCAGGCGTCCGGCGTTTGGCTATTGCATACAAACGCGTTCGACGAGTGCAGGAAAGACAAAGGCAGCTAGCTTTACCTCTACCCACTAATCCTTCCAACCAGAGCTCGGCGTTCTGACGTCCCCTCTCGTCTCCTCCTCTTCCTCAGTTTCTCACTTCGTAAGCGCTGACAAAGTACTGTAGAGAGGTTCCATCTCAGACCACGGGGAGCGTCTCCAACTTAATGGCCGACGCGTCCCGCGCAAATTGGTCACAAGTGCACACGCGCTGCGCGTGGCGAGGAGGAAAGCAGGTGGAAAGGCGGAGACGCTCGCAGACGACGGACACGTTCGTCACCTGGTCGCAGCTCGTATCGCAAACGCGGTCCATAAACCATTCGACCCCGATCGAGCAGTTGGAAGCTCTCTGGAATACAGGCTCTCTAAAAAGGTCAGAACGGTACGTTCCGCCGCCAGCGTAGGCTTCCTCGATAACGCTCCGGCATCTCGTGAAGTTTGAACACAGCCAAAGCACGACGAGAGGCAGCGAGCGCGTGCTAAAGGCCGGGCGTTAAAAAAAAAAAAAAAGACGCACTGCCGTTTTTATTTTGTCGATGACTATCACGGAAGGGCTGCAGTGCCTCTTTCGGGGTCGCGTCTTGCGGACGCTACAACGCCCTCTGGTCGAAAAGGAACGAGCCTCTATGGCCAACTGTTTGCGAAGGCCCACCTGTTTCAGGTGACACGGTGCGGGACGCAAGCTCCGGTCTGGATCAGGCTGAACGATCCAATGCCGTCCGCGGGGCAGGAAGTCGTGGGCGAGGCATGCGCAGCCTGGATCTTCCCGTCGACGTCAACTGCCGTCTGCTGCATTCTCAAGAGCCCGGCAAAAATCAGAAACTGCGGCACCTACCTCATCTACCATATCCGAGGCCTGACCGGTTGCAACCTCGCCTTCTGCGCCCTTCCCGCTGAGACGAGAGCAGCGCCAAAGTTGACTGGTGGGTATCCATTCGGAAGCTCAATAGGACGTCGGGATAGTGGCGGAACGCGGATGATTAGATTATCATCGCGTTCCACCACTGCTAGCTTTGCACCTGCTTCACGAGTGGTAACTTTGGCGCGCCCCCGAGTTTTCCCACAAGCTTCGAGTCCTTCTAAAAAGAGTTGATTTAGTGGTTTTCGATGACGCTCGGTAAGTTTCTGATTGGAACCATATGCATATTTTCACTAATTAAAAAGTTAATTAACAAATTTTAGTTAATCAGTCGACTTACCGCAAAAGTTGGCCACCCACATAATGTCCCCCTGGCCGTATAACTCACCTGTACAAACGGCATAAGTCTAACTTTTATGGCTTTTTTTAAACAAATCTGTAAATCTAAAAAAAAAAAACACACCCTGTATATGTATATATTTTTTGAGTGAGGTAAGATTACACAGGTGCAGCCGTGGTAATATTGGGAACAAAGAGGGGAGAGAGTGATTGTGGAATTCCTTGCATTGAAGTTGGGGGAAGGGAAAGGGAAAGAGAGGTGGCGAAAAATTGGGCCAGGAGCGGAGATCGAACCCGCAACCTTCGCATCCGAGGCGACGCTTTAACCGATTCGACCAGGGGTCTCAAACACGTGGCCCGCGGGCCGGATGCGGCCCGGGACTCTATGGGTCGCGGCCCGCGTGCATCCCGCGACTGCGATCCCCGGTTCCCATGTTTAAACGTTATAAGAGCAACTCAGCTGGGAAACTGCCATAGAGCCTGCTTTGAAAAAGTGGCTCCGATCAGCACTCGGGAACTGAACTACAGGCGATTGCAACGCCGCCATTTCTCCCGCAGCGGGCACTCCAGGAACTACACGGCTGCACGTATTGGTTAAGATCGAATCGCGCAAGTGCCGGTGGCGCCATCTCGCAGTGCCATTTCGCAGTAGCTATATAAATCAACTTCATGTTTTGTCAAGTCACTAAAGGGCGGCGCAGTTATCACGTCAAGTTTGGTCTCGGTGGACGCGAGCGGTCCGAGTTACAACGGTGAGTTCCCCAACTGAGTATTTTAGTGACGTTGCCATGCCTCGAACGCTACATGCGCCAAAAATAATAGTTTACTATCGTCGATTCATGGCTTCTAGCTGTGAGACAATACCTTTAAAATGCAAGTATTTTCTCTTATAATGCTGCTATAAAGATCGTCAAGAAAGCAAAAACTTAGGTATGAAAAAATCTTTTTTTTTTCTATGCCTGTTGAGCCTAGTGAATTGTGCGACAGGAACAGGTTGCTTGTTCTCGCGCAAATGAAAGATAAATATGGCGAACCGGTGAGCTTACAAAAAGCAGAGAGCTCAAGACTCCTTCTCTGGAAAATCTCTGGTGTGTCTCTGGGACAGTCGGTTCCTTTGCAAGGTGAAACACCACTGCTGTTTGCTTGCTGTCCCAAAATACCAAAACATTCACCAAGCTCAATATCCAAAATGCCACTTCTTCCTAAATTGGTTTATCATACACCGGTTAAGGTTTCCCACCAAATTTATCTATCTAGCCGCGACGGACAGACGCACACAAACTCACGGTTTGGTTGTAAATACTATCGTATTTAGAAGTTTTCGTTACTGCCGAAGTTTTCGTGGATGCATATAGCTATATTAAGAGACGTGCGACATTTGGGGCACCAGGTATCATTCTCATCCCAAACCCTCTGGAGACCATACATTTGCAGAACAGGTGACACCTCACTTACCTCATTAACTTTAAACGTAAAACCTTTGAGCAGATTTCCTGGATTACTTTCGTTTTAGGAACGAGACCATTGCCTCGGCTCATCATCCGACCGAGCTTACGGGGAGGAGCGTCGTGGCTCACGTGCTCCGCTTCTGCGGTGCCAGGAATGCTGTACAACGTGTCGTGGTACAAGCATCCCGCCAGGTACAAGCGCGTCCTCCTCAAGGACCTGCGTGAATTGGATCACCCCAGCGACGCTCTCTTGGTGTCCTCCGTCATCTTAGGCACAGAGGTTGGTGACAGACATGCATGATACACGAAACAACTAACGAGATTGCTTGTGAGGAATTAGTTGTATAGACAATTTTGCATCGCTTTATTGCAGTTTTTAGAGCACTCAAATCAGCAATATCGTACCTTTTTTGAGGTAAAAGAAAAGTTGTCAGGGACCTTTATCTACTAATTTCTATGATTCATGTGTGACGGTGTCGCGTGAACGCTGGAAGAAACGGAAAGGAAGAAGAAGATCGAGCTGGAAAAGAAAAAGAATGTCACCACGCCTCAACGGAGCCGAACATTAAAAGAGATATTTCGACGACCAATCGAGCTTCGTCGCACTTGGCGCCCAACGTGGGGCTCCGTAATGAGGTAAATTTATGTGGGGACGGCGGCCATTATCAAATCGCCCATTGAGCTCTTCGCATCAACGAGAGGGCTTAACTACAACGTCAGCAACGATGGATGAAGACGGCGCAAAAAGCGGCAGTGACGCGTCGTTGCAAGCTAAAGTTGAGGCGGCAGTTGCACGGAGCGAAGAACTTCAGCAGATCCTTTCGAGGAGGGACGAAGAAATCGCTCCGTGCAACTGCCGCCTCAACTTTAGCTTGCAACGACGCGTCACTGCCGCTTTTTGCGCCGTCTTCATCCATCGTTGCTGACGTTGTAGTTAAGCCCTCTCGTTGATGCGAAGAGCTCAATGGGCGATTTGATAATGACCGCCGTCCCCACGCGAGCTCGAGAAGTAACTCTGAAAGCAGCGACGAGGGCGCCAAGCACCAAGGGCAACCGAATAAAATATCCAAGAAAAAGAAACGGCAGCAGCGGTCGCTGGATACCGAACTACAAGAGAGCGTTCCAAACTCATGCAGCACATCTCAAAGCAGAGACAAGGGCTCGAACCAGCAAAGCCAGGGGAGAGGACTGGGAGATACCATCAACCATCGAGTACAGCCATCCACCGCGGCCGTAAGTGCAGCTCCCCTCCTCGCCACTGACGTAATTGGTTGGTTCCATCAGGTCGAATTTTGGCTAAAAATTTACGGGCTGCCGGAAGATATCGCACTGCCGCTGCTCATATCAAAGCTACCTTCCAAAGATTTTGCTTGGATGCGCTTCGAGCTTAACTCCAAGAAGATGAGCACTTGGAATGACGTGAAGTCCGCGTTTCGGCGGCACTACAATTTAGAAAGCCCTGTGGAAAATCAAAGAGCAATGTTCGCTCGAAGACAGACCTCCACAGAAACGTGCATGGAATACGCTATTCAGAAGCTGCAACTGATAGAAGAATGTGTCTTCACAGGAAGCGAAGCCGAGAAGTGCGAATTGCTTCTTGAATCGCTGAACGACAAGACAAAGCGGATGTATTTCGATAGAAGCTTCACATCGCTTGATGACTTGCTCGACTCTTTTATGAAGTTTGATCGGGCAAGCGGAAAAGCCAAGAAGCCCGAAGAGAAGTCATTAAAAGTTTCAAACTTCCACGAAGGAGGGGCCGATGAGCTGTGCAGTTTCGTCAAACTTGATCGGCAACAGCAGTCTGGGGAAAAACGTCAGGAATGCGATGCAGCGAGCAGTGCGAATGACAAACCACGACCAAGCCTGACCTACCAAAGGGAATTCCGCCGCCAGAACAATGCAGCCCAGACCAAGGCTCAAGGATCCCGTCGGAAAGTACTCAAGCTTTGCCTAAATTGCAAACAGGAAGGCCACTTTGTTACATGGTGCCCCCAGCCTCTCACGCAAGAATTTCTTGAATGGCAGCGCGCATTTCAAGCGGAGCCTAACGTTCCGACTGACCTGGAAAACTCCGACCTGGTGTCTTCGGGGCCTGCGGGGAGACACCAGTAGTGCAGCGCGTTAGCTGTGAATCTTCTGTGGGCGTCAAACGGGTCCCAGTCTTTATGGGATCCCTTGAACTCAGTGCAGTTTTGGATTCTGGTTCCACCAGAAGCCTTGTGAATGAAGCTGTTTGCCAGAGACTTCAGATGACACCTTCAAAATCTTCCCTGAAACTTGTGGGAGCAAATGGGCTGCCACTTGAAAATAATGGAGAAGTGAGTGTCGACATTACGGTGGACGGAAGGTCATTCCGACAGACTTTTGTGGTTGTCCCACATTTAAAGGAAGACTTAGTCTTACTTGGAAATGACTTTCTACGCTCTTCAAAAGCATTTATCGACTGGGGTACAAACACGTTTTCGATCCAAGCCGAAAAACCACTCAAGGTTTATGCAACGACCACCCAAGTAGTACCGCCTCTTTCCCGGAAAGTCATCGAAGTCGTTTTGGAAGTCCCAGACGGCGAGACAAGTCGCGATATTTTGTACGTAACAGGTTCTCAATCAGCTATTGAACGGTACCTGTTGGAACTGCAACCGACAGTCATCGATGCAGGGACAAAGACTTTCAAACTGCTGGCTACAAACTTTTCCTTGAGGCCATCCAAAATACCTGCGAGGGCATCTTTAGGATCAGCAGAAAAGGTAGAAGCTGTTGAAGCGGTTGATTTGTCTCCCATCGAATGGGAATCAGTCCTGCGATGTTCCAGTTTTTCTGATCTTGAGAACCAGGAAGATGTGCCGAAAGTCCGCAACGAAACGCAGCAGATAATAATTGATGAGTTGAGCTTCAACGTGGGAGCTTCGCTGAACTCCGAAGAGCTGGAGGCAGTAAAACAACTCTTGATGAAATATCGTTCTAGTTTTGCAACCGACACTGCACACCTGGGATCTTGTACGATAGAGAAACATTCCATTTCTACTGGTGGTGCAAAACCGATTGCACAATGCCCAAGGCGAATTTCACCGGCTCAAAGAGATTTGGTGAAGGCAATGATAAAAGACCTAATGGATGCAAAAATTATCCAGCCCTCCAAAAGCTCCTGGGCATCACCACTGGTTCTAGTCCAAAAAAAGGACAAGTCAACAAGGATGTGTGTAGACTACAGGAAGCTAAATGCTGTAACTGAAAACGTTGTCTATCCACTACCACGAATCGATGATGCTCTGGCAGCATTGAGTGGGAGCAAGTATTTCTCAACATTGGACCTCCTTTCAGGATTCTACCAAATAGAGGTGGAACCTGGCGACACCGCTAAGACAGCTTTTGTTACGCAGTGGGGGCTGTATGAATTTCTGAGAATGCCGTTCGGGTTAAAAGGGGCACCGGCAACGTGTCAGCGAACTGTATATGCCATTATCGGTGATCTAAAGTATCGCAACGCACTGGTCTACATGGACGACTGCATTGTTTATAGCACAACGTTCCAAGATCACCTTCGACAACTGGGAAATATTTTCGCGCGTTTTGAGGTCGCAAATCTCAAGTTCAAACCGCAGAAGTGCCATTTTTTTTGCACCAGAGTGACTTACCTTGGACATATTGTATCCCAGAGAGGTATTGCACCTGATCCAGAGAAAGTCGATGCCGTAACGCGATTCCCCGTTCCTAGAACTGCGGCTGAAGTTCAATCGTTCTTGGGACTGACGTCCTATTTCCGAAAGTTCATTTGGAACCATAGTGCCATCGCAGCCCCCTTGAGAAAGCTCCTGAAAAAAGAAAAAGCCTTCACATGGGGTGCTCCACAAGAACACGCCTTCCATGAACTGAAATCTGCCTTATGTGGACCTCCCGTCTTGAAGCACTTTTCAGAAGACTCTAAATACGGCCTCCAGGTCCACACTGATGCTTCCAGAACCGGCCTCGGCGCCATCCTCCTCCAGGAAGATGAAACTGGGGATTACAGGCCTGTTGTATACCTCAGCCGTTCTCTTCACGGAGCTGAAGAGAACTACACATCCACTGAACTTGAGGCCCTTGCAGTTAAGTGGTCCCTGGAACAGCTACGTCCCTACCTAATGGGCAGAAAGTTTCATGTTGTTACAGATCACCATGCGCTCTGCTGGGTTCTTCGTTACAAGGAGGGAAACCAACGCCTGCTCAGGTGGTCTCTCCTGCTCCAAGAATTCGACTTTGAAGTTGTGTACAAGTCTGGCGCATGTCACACTGCCCCCGATTGTCTGTCCCGTATTCCAAGCCGCTTCTGCTCAGGGGAACCTTCGAGTACCAACGGCTCGGGAGAGACTGGCAGGACCCGCACTTGCGATGTGTTTGAGGTCAAAGAGCCCAACTTAACCTCCGAGCAGAAGGAGGACCCGTTCTGTACAAAAATCATAAAGATACTGCAGAAAAAGGCTGGTACAAAGAAACAGCAGAAGAGAGCAAGTAAACAATTCGTGCTTTTTCACGATGTATTGTACAAAAGGGATGCAGGACCAACGCATGAACGATTTGTTTTATGCTTGCCGGCGACGAAGCGAGCGGAAGTACTTCACGAATTTCATGGAAGTCGATTCGGAGCACACATGGGAATCCGTCGCACATACGAGAAAATCCACAGTAAATATTTCTGGCCTCGACAGTATCTGGATGTCCAACGGTTCGTGAAAAGCTGTGACCTCTGTCAACGGATGAAGATGACTACGACGTGCCCTTACGGACTGCTGCAGCCAGTTGAAGTCGATGTGCCATTTCATACAGTTGGACTCGACATAATTGGGCCCTTCCAGGCTTCACGAAGGTACAAGTTTGTCATAGTTGCCATAGACTACCTAACCAAGTTTGTTGAGGCGAAAGCTGTTCGTAACATTGAGGCTTCCACGGTGCAGAAGTTCATCGAGAGGAGAATTATCCTCAAGCACGGATGCCCCACAGTACTAGTTACGGACAGGGGCACACAGATGACTGCCAGATCAACTTCCGATTACCTCAAGTACCGTGGTATACGTCACGCAACGACTACAGCTTATCACCCAGCTGCCAACGGCCTCGTCGAACGAGCCAACAAAACGCTCAAACAGATGATGCGAATCACCACCTCATCTGGAGAGAAGTGGGCTGATGTTTTGCCCTATATAGTGTTCTGCTATAACACAGGATATCAGGACACAGTTCGTACTTCTCCTTTTTTCCTTCTGTATGGACGTGACCCTGTTTTCCCCTTGGATGTGGCTTATAACAGGAAAGAGCTGCAAGAACTGCAAGCAAGCTCCGAATACGCGGTGCTCGTGCGTGAGCGCTTGAACGAAGCGCGTAGATTGGCCGCACGACACATCAAGTTGGCTCAGGAGAAGCGGAAGAGACTATTTGACGAACACCGAACTGACATAACGTTAGAACGAGACCAGTTGGTGCTGTTGAGGGCCCCGCCTGTGGGGCTTAAAAAACGGACAATGTACACTGGGCCTCATCGAGTTGTGGCCAAGCTATCGCCGGTGAATTATGAAATAGAGTTCGGTGATGGTTCAGGGCGGGACATCGTGCATGTAGAAAAACTGAAACCGTATCTAGAGCCTGTTGCAGAATTTTCACTCTCCTAAAACTGTTCACTAGAAGACCCTTTTATACTTGTACAGGAGTTGCAGTTACCACGTGGGACGATTGTGTCGTGTCTGTACTTGAATGTTGTATTATATGTGTACAGGACTTGCAATTACCGCTTCGGACGATTGTGTTTTGCGTGGACTTGAATGCTGTTTTATACGTGTACAGCACTTGCAACTATCGCGTGTTTTGTGTGTGCTTTAAGTGTCTTCATAACACCAGTTTCTTTGCGTGTTGTGTGCGTCGGGTCAACGCCTTTTTGAGGCGGCGGCATGTGACGGTGTCGCGTGAACGCTGGAAGAAACGGAAAGGAAGAAGAAGATCGAGCTGGAAAAGAAAAAGAATGTCACCACGCCTCAACGGAGCCGAACATTAAAAGAGATATTTCGACGACCAATCGAGCTTCGTCGCACCATGGAATTCAGTATCCTTCAAGAGCGATTGCTCAAATTTGTACAGAAGACATGAAACAGTTATTTCGGGTTATGAAGAACATATTGTTTATTAATTGACGAACGGACAAAGTTCCGAGACTAGGGGCATCCATTAACAATCACTCCATGCCTTAAAAAAGTATTTGAAACATTGGGGGCTGTCTAGATCAATATTTGATTCCCACTTCGAATAAAGCACTTGCCAAATTTTTCGATTGTACACCATAGAGGAGGTGAAACACCACATCCTTGCTTGAGTAAAAAAAAAGAACACTAAATATTTGACCTTAACAGAAAAGTTCGTTGAAATTTCCTGGTAAATGAAATGAAACGACATGATTAGGAAGTTCCGAGAAAACATAATTCCTGTTTACAGGATAATTTAACTACTTTAAAAAAAACACTATTCTCCTAAACACCATGCTTTTAAGTGTCTAGGTAGACCACGTTTGTCACAAAATAAAGTTTTAGCGAAAAACAAATAGCGCAATATTTACGCCACAAGCTCATTTGAACGTTGAAAATAAAAGCAATTTTGGAATCGCTTTTAACTCAAAGTATGTCTGGCGACGTACATATTGCACTAATTTTCTTTTTAGGAAAGTTTTATTTTCTGACATTACTGTCCTATCTTAACACTTGAAAATAGTTTTGTGAGTTTAGTGTCCGTACACTCTAAAAAAAGCCTGCGCTTGTACTTACTCGCAAAACTCTCAAAGAGCCAATCATTGCGATCTAGGAAATCAGCTCAGGGAATGATGAGGCGGAATATCCGTTTAGGAATAAAAATAAAGTCTGCGCTGTGGCATTACGCAATGCAAGCGTGACGCTTTGCATTGCGTAATGCCACAACGCAGACTTCATTTTGAGGTCTAAACAGATGTTCCGCCTCATCATTCGCTGAGCTGATTTCCTAGATCGCAGAGATTGGCTCTTTGAGTGTCTTGCGGGTAAGTAGACGCGCAGGGATTTCTTAGAGTGTAAAAGCGAATTCGAAACATATTTCTCTTTCGGGTCAACCTTCGAATTTTAGAATCGCTCCTAAGCTGAAATGTGTCTCGCGACGTAAACCTTGTAGTATAAATATATATATATACAGTATATATTTTATTTTACTTTAAGTGAAACTTTTTTGTGGGACGTAGTGTCTTATCCAGGCGTTTTAAAAATGTTGGTTTATTAATTCAGTGTGTTTTAAGTACAGACTGCGGCAATATGAGCTTAGGCAGCCGAGTGCTAACCAAAGGGGGCAAAATGCTGCTCGGGGTCTCCAGAATGCTAGATCATGTAACCTGCTGCCACATTGTGACGATAGAGAACGTGGCAGGTCATTCCTTTTTTTTTTTTTTTTTTTTAACAGCTTAACGCATCTGGGGTGTCCGCTTTGCATTATTACTGTACGAACTTATATTGTCACTGTACCAGCTCATATTGCCGCATCCTATACTCAAATCCGCTTAGCTCGGAATAGAAAATTTGAATTCCAATTGATTCCTTTTTGCGTTATAGGGAAGTTGAAGCGGCTTTGTATTTGAGGAAACACACTTAAATTACCTTCACTCGACCTCCAGGATCTCGGATATCGAAATTACTTTTAATTCGGTCCATGGAGGGTGCAGAAAATCATTTTCAAAAGAACCGCTGAAGGCCCTTCTTTACGGAGTATGACGTCACAAAAGATATTTTCGGAATCTCCGCTCTCGTACATCTTCAGCGCCTGTCAAAGCTATGCACGCGCACACTTGCTATATTAAAGGAGGGCTGAAAAAGACGTCACGACTGGTACCAGCGCGGAGGAATATACCTGGCAAGCTTGTAATTGCACGCGCGGCCTTCGATCGACACGCGCTTGGCGGCCGAAAAACCCTTTTATGACGTCACAACTGATTGGAAGTTTTTTTTTTTTTTTTTTTCGCGTTTTGTTACATCTTAGGGGAAAACGAACGTGATATTCAGATTCACGGGATAAAACTACGCTAGAATCAACCTCTATCTCATTTTTCTAAAGTGTTTCACCTTCCCCTTAACGACTCGTTCTGATTGGGTCTGGCAGTTCCGTGAATTTTTCGAAACAAATATCCGCTTTGTGCACAAGCAGTTCACGTTCCTCGGAAACCCAAGATAAGCAGATTTTTGGATGCGAGGCTCAAGAGGAGTGGTGGGGGCGAACAGGGTTTGTCGTGTGTCCATCTAGACAAGACCACAATGAAGGCCCAAATCTTTCTGCTGCAGGTGTCCTGCCAGATCACCGGCTATTTCCGCAATTCTAGCAGCCGCTCGAAGCGCAAGTCATCGAGTGAACGTTACTTCGTCGGAATCAAGGCAAGTACACCTTGTCGTGTACAATCTCTCAGGTCTTTGAACCTGTGTCTGTACCGCGAAGGACAGTGAATGAAAATCCCATGGACCTTTGCCAAGAGTTCAGCCTACAGCAGGATACGAAGTTTTGCCCCCAACAGAGCACCCCCAGTCAGCCCTTTTACATTCCGTAGAAATCCTATATTCGTTCTTTTGCTACAGGAACTTTTTTCTACGTGGGTGTGTGCATACCAGTGTGTGCACGTGGACGTGTTTATATATGTGAGCGTAGGTATACGTGCGTGCGCGTTTTGGCGAGCTTAAAACGTGCTATTCGTCAAATGTTTGTGTTCTGTTTTGGGAAGAAAGGAAGAAAAACAGAGATAAAAAACAAAGAGGTTGACCTGGGAAGTTCGTTCTGGTTGAGCACTTTGTACAGGGGAAGAAGTGGCAGGGAGAAATGAAGAGAAAACAGAAGAGATGAGTGAAAACAGTAGAAATAAAGCTTAGTCTACAGTGTCAAGAAAGCACACGCATTGCACTGGTCATAGGAAACAAGGCACCATATACTACTGGCAGAAGTGCAGGCGTGTGCCTGAAAGAAAAGACAACAACAACAAGGGGGCTTCGTGACCTTGGACTCTCTTTGTGGCGTTTCCGAATTGTCCGTATCTTCGCAGCTTGAACAACTGTGCTTACTCGTCCGATTCGGTTGAAATATGTCTATGTACAGGCGACGCCGATTCTGAATGATTATATAGTTACCTCCGTACGTCGAGACAAGTCATGTGGAAAGTGAAACATGATGCCTGGGTCTAACATGAATACAGGGGAGCATATTGATGTACAGGAGGTTGCCACACAGCTTGTCATTCCGGTAATGTGGGGCTATAATATTTGTGTCCAATTGATGGGCGGATCTAGCACGAGCCTCTGCCTCTAGCACACGCCTCTGCCGTCTCGTTTCCAGGTAAAATGATTGTAGATCCACTGAAATTTGATGGAGTGTCCCGCCTTTATAAATTTTTTAAGAAGGAACGTAGTAATGAATGTAGAGTGTGTTCAACTGTTAAACATAACACATGAGAATCGGCCGGAGAGACTCCCTGTGTCACCTGCTGATGCAGTCTGGCAGCTCACGCCTCCGTATAAATGCGATGCCATTCATTATGAAGTTTACAAAGTTTTTTAATAAAGCTTTAAACAAAGCGTGGTCAGGGAGCTGGGGAAGTGCAGGCCAGCACACGTTTCAAGAATTTCTTACAACACAGTTCTTCAGTGGACATTTGTGTGGTCAAACGAACTATCCCCGTAAAACACACGCGCACGTGCACACACACAAACACACACACACACACGGGCACACACACGCACGCACACACAGACGCGCACGCACACTGACACGCGCGCGTGCGTGCGTGCGTGCGTGCGTGTATGTGTGTGTGTGTGTGTGTGTGTGTTTAATGGGGGCAGTTCGTTTGATCAGGCAAATGCGCACTGAAGTACTGTGCTGTAAGGAATTCTTGAGACGTGTGCTGACCTGCACTTCGACCTTGATACACTTCACGTCGTCGTCGTACGTGATTCGGCTTCACAGTGTTTTCACCTTCTCAAATATTGCGACAGCGACCTCCACGGGAAGGCGCTCGCGCGCTCGTGCACCTCGAACGTCGATCAAAGCTGTGTACGGGCACTCTTCCCTTCCGACATCCCACAGGAAGTGAGACCCCAAGAATATAAGTTCCGTCGATCATCACCTAGTTCATTCAACGCAGTCGCGCACTCCCTCAGAAAGAACCACTGAACCCGCGAAGTTATTGAGTCGTCCGCTAGCAAGGCAAAACCGGTTGTGGCACTTTTATTACGGGCTTTTGTCATCGCATTTTGGTACTGAGACGATAGAAAATTCTTCATCATTGGATATTAAGAAGACACAAATATTCAACCTTTTTTTTTATCAGACATAGTGTTTCACACACAGAATCGTGTCCATACAGATGCAAACGGGATATTTGTCAAGGGCAATTTCCGTTGATTTAGTGGCAACGATTTTCAGACCGAGGTATCTGTGGAATTTTCTTTACGCGACTCGAAGCTTTACTTTTGTTTGTACACGACTAGACACAGATGCCCATATACAAATTTGGTACCTATAGAAGGACGCGTGACCGTTTTCTGGCAGGAATTGGCCAAGTGGAAGAATGGCGATGTTGAATAGCGTGAGCCTCAGAATGACTCCCTGTGTTGCGCCTCGGTACGCCTCACCATCCTATGCGGTCAGCTTCTTCCTTTAAGAAACACGTACATGCTTAATATTGAAAGGAGTAGCTCGCCCCTCCACGTACCGTTCCAGGCGTCGGTGAATCATCTTCTCCATTCATTTTCCAGCACAACCCGAGAGCGCAACAGGGCGATAGGAAGAGAGAATCAGCGGTGACAGAGGCTTGAGGAAGGGAACAAGGGGACAGACGTGTCCTATTGAGGCACTTATCTCTCTCTCTCTCTCTCTCTCTATATATATATATATATATATTCACGAATGACAATAATGAAGCGACAAAAACTGAAACAAACTAAACGTTTAATGAGTCGAACTTGGGCCATAAACAAAAAGGAAACAGAAGATAACACTAGAGCGTCGCTGGCGTCGATGGCGGCGTAGCAGCAGGATCGAACGCTGGGGCGAGACTGACTGTGGCTTGCCACGGGGAGCACCTTTTGCGGGGGTCTCTGGAACATTCGGCCTAATATATATATATATATATATATATATATACGTAACCACGTACGTAACCATTACGTACGCGCGACCGCGCGTACGTAACCGTTCGGCCACGTACGCGAGCGCGTACGTGGCTGAATGGTTACGTATGCGCGGTCGCGCGGAGGATAGATATATATATATATATATATATATATATATTTTTTTTTTTTTTTTTTGAGAGTCTCTTTCGGTGAGAGTGCGACCGACGCTACCCGGGGGTCAGACAGCGGCAAAAGCTCAACCTAATGACTTTCATCATCACTCTGTGCGTATACTATTGCCGGGGAAACCAGTGAAGCGCAGCAAGTGCACCGTCACCTTGCATTTTTTTACTTTACGCTTGTCTTCCAGCCTTTGTCTGCTTCCTGTATTATAGTGAAACGAAGTATAGCTAGAAGCATAGTGAGGTATATCGGTTGGGGAGCGCTGACAAAGCGTCTTTCTGATCGCCGCCTCTTAGCATTATCTTTTCTAACCGCTCTCTTTTTCTGCCATCTACTCCCTTCACTTTTCTCTGTCTTCTTATTTGCTCCTCCTTTTGTGGTCTTTCTCCTTGCCCATACTTCTCTCCAATATGGGGAGCTTTTATCGTTTTTTTTTTCGGTATCTAATATCCTCCCTTGTGCCATTCTGTTGTTATTTTTTTGCCATTTTTTTTGTTGTTTTAGGCTTGCAGTCTACTTTTGGCTTTAAGAACACAAACCTTTTTCTTGCTAATATGACCTAATTCACTTTTACTTAAAAGTTATAACTCATCCTAATATAATTGTACCTAACCTAACCCCACCGAACCGAAGCTAAGCTAACCAAACGAAAACACGACTGGCACAACGTTACAGGAGTTCTGATGATTCGCGCGTAAAATTGATTCTTTCAGGCTCGACAAAATGCAGTTACACTTGTGCGAGGCGGTGGTGCTGTGACTGTGAAGTTTGTGACCACCGTACCTTTGGCCTGTGGCACGAGGTCCACCGGACGTTGCCGCCTCCGGCTCATTCTCTATCAAGGACGTGGTGAGAATGAACAAACTCACCCTCAACTTGTGGCTTACAAAACGAAATCGTAAACAAACATTGGTAAGGGTCCTCTCCAAGAATTGAATAGCAATGTCATTATAAAGCATTGTTGTCGTCTATTGTTTTTTTCCAATGGGGGATTCCCATCTACAGCAATACCGGGAATGAAGAAATGGAAAGACGCATTTTGGGAGAACCTGCCTCGGCCTGCTGTGTTGTGCGCGATGACAGATTTATGACGGAAGTGGTATTTAAGATGTAATCCTAAAGGAAAAAACGCGATGATAAATTGACAACGTAATGCAGTATTTGGCAAGAGAACAAGAAGAAACGCGATGATAAAATTTACGACGTAATACAGTATTTGCCAAATCAAACCACCACAGACTTTTCGTAGTGCGACGGTAGTTTGAATGCTTAAGAAAGATCAATTTTCAGACGAAACAAGCGGGCCAGCCAAAGTGGGCTTGTCTAAATGCCATATCCCTCTGAAACACCGGGGCTGCGGGCGGCGATGCGCTGTGGCCCGCGTGAAGCTGTCCGCCTTCGTGAACGACACAAGCGACCAGACTTCGCACACCGTTATTCGAGGGTTCGTGGAGAGCGAGGACGGACCCTTGTGGCACGGATACCGGATCCCTCCATTAAAAGTAAGTTTGGGTCTTCGTTTTTTTCTAACGACGGTAAAGCGAACTGTATCCGGTGATCAAGCTGAGGGCTTTAATGTTCATTGCAGGTAACAATTGTCAATCTGCCAACAAAGCGCTGCTACTCGTTTTCTGGCGTGTACTACACATCGTTTGCCAACGTGTGAGTGCGCTTTTCTGTACTCCCCATGAATCGTGTCTGGGTATTTCCGTCCCCGTCGAAGGTTGTATTGAATCTTCACTCGAAGCAATTGGCTTCGATCATTGAACTGGCCGTTTTGAAAATGTACGTCAATCAGAGTGTTAAAAATCACACGTACGCAACCCGAGACTGCCCAAGCGGCTGATGCAAAGCAAAGCCCACTTTGTTTCCCACTGTCACCGGTTTCTGCCCGCCTGTCTCAAAAAACTTCAGCGCGTTTTTTTTTTTTTTTTTGTTCTTTTTTTGTTTTGTTTTGGGTTTGGGTTGTTGATCGAACTTCCAACTCCCTTCTACCACATATGTTTCGACGCCAAAATGGCCGATTAAAGCCAAAATATAACGGTCACAGCGGACGCTATCGAATGCGATACTCCCGAACCAATTCAAGCAGCCGTGCAGTTCCTTGAGTGGCCGCTGCGGGAGAAATAGCGGCGTTGCGATCGCCATTAGACCGGTTCTCGAGTACGGATCGGTGCCACTTTTTCAGAGCAGGCTCTATGGCAGTTTCCCAACTGAGTGGTTGTAGTAACGTTGCCCTTATCCGAAAATTTTGTTCTTCCGACCGTCCGTGCATTTCTAAACTAAATTTAGCGGGAGAATCGACGTCACGTAACATCAGAGCATCTCGTAAAACCCCAACTTGACTCCGAGATGTCACGTCGATTTCCCCGCTATATTTAGCGGGGAAGATAGACGGTCACGTGACCTGACATTATGTCACGTCACGTGACCACGTTTTGTGGCGTCGTGGTATCACGTGACAGCACGACTCGACACGGTAACGCTAATTTCTCCCCTAAATGTAGCGGGGAAATAGACGTCACGTCACCCGAAGTGACCACGTCATGTGACGTCACGATATTACGTGCACCCCGACTTGATACCGCAACGTGAATTTCCCCGCTAAATTTAGCGGGGAAATGACGACACGTGGCCAAGTTATGTGAGATGGTGTCAAGTGACACCACGACCTGACATCGTGACGTCAATTTCAACCCTATATTGAAGTCACGCGACCTGACGTTATGGGATGTCATGTCGCGTGGCACCGTGACGTCATGGTGTTACTGTCTTGGTATCGAGTGACATCAATCCTAGTTTCGTCAAGTCACGTGACATCGATGTTTGTACTAAGTTTTTGGAGAAATTAATGAGCAGTATGTTCTTCACTTTCCGAAACGACTGTTTAATTTATTCTAAACAAGTTTAAACGATAGCTTCTTGAATACTGCATTTCATGCATTTTGGGATTTGGAAGACGAAGGTCACATAATCCTTCTTTTTAAAATTAAATTGGTTAGGAACTGCTGGGGAAATTTTAGGAATATTTTTCGACGACGTCCATGAACCTTCCGTAACTAACCAACGACGTTTTCTAATTTTTTTGTTGCATTATTGCGACTAACATTTCTCTCTTTATGCACATAATAATAATAATAATAATAATAATAATAATAATAATAATAATAATAATAATAATAATAATAATAATAATAATAATAATTTATTTTCCTTTTTTCATTACAAAACGAAAAAAGGTGGAAAGGAGGGCAAAAAGCTGCTACTGCAGCTTGACGAGGCCCTAGTCCCCCCCCCCCCCCCCCCCCACATACTCATACATACATACATAAACATAAAAGTCGAAGCTACCTGCTTGTTCTACTGGAATGTTCCGCGGTGTCAGTTCGCGAATGAAATGTTATCGCATTTAATAACCACTACTTCACAAGTCTTCCCTCGGAGCAGTGGTTGAGAAACGCGCTCCCCATCTTGGGGCCATAGGCCTGTTTCTCTCGGCAAGGGGGCGCTAGCGTGCCCGTAAGGCGCGCTCATGTAATGCTTTCATCGAACATAAAGCGCCATTGCAGCATTCGAAACTACACGGTTCACGCGGTTGTTTACATGCTCATGTCAGCGTCTGTTCACGCGCGGTGAGAGAGCGCCTAATAGCACTAAAAAAGCTTCAAATAAACAAAAGAATAACGCAGCTCGCGCTGTCCTATCAAAATGATAAGAGTGACTTTCTTTAGCTACTTTATTCTTCCTGCCATTTTTTCCTAAACATTGTTTCCGCCAATTCAATATTGTTAGCTTAGCGTCCGCGAGCAACGGGAAAAAGCGCAACCGAAACGCTCCCTAAAAATATTAGATTTTGCTCGCTAGGTGCGCTGCTCAAACTCGGGAGCTACCCTATAGGTCTGATTCCCCTTGGGAGACGTTCGGAATATTGATCTCTCTTTTATCGCCTTATCATTCTCCCGCTAGTGCGCAATCGTTTCGTTGGTTACAAACAGAGAGCGAACACAAAAATGCACAGCTATAGGTTTCGTTCATACATGCTATCCCATTTAAAACAGAATGCACATCAACAATGAAATCGTAAACACTTCCGCAACCCGTAAGGCGAAACACAGCGACAGCTGATGTGTGACGTCGGAACCGCTGAGGGTGTCATTTCGGAGCAGATAGACTGAATGAACGGTAAAGGTGCCAGCGCGCACCATAGAGTCCGCATATGTATTTCATTTAAAATGGAGTGACACACCGGATAAACATTCCATAGCATTTTGGAATCAATGAGGGTTTATTAAGTAGAGAGCATTTCGGCTGTTTGCGTAAGAGTGGAGGCTGTTTTTGTACGTCACTTCGGTTTAAATAGTCGCGCGTGCTAAGCGAAAAGCGTCGAAGAAACGGACAAAGAAGTAGACGAGACGTTGAACTCTCAAATGAAGGTTTATTGAAACAAATACACACTATAGTAATATCATCTTTATGGCAATTAGTTTTGAAAATAAAACTGTATCTGTCAGGTGCATGGACGAGGCACTAAAGCACTTGCTTTCCCCTTGCTTTCTGACACAGATTGCATAGTAAAATTCTAAGGCAGTTTTATCTGCGAATCTCCCGAGAATTGTTGTTTGTCCTAATTTTGGGTCACATCGGCACCTTCCTATATACACTGCCAGATTGCCCGGCAAGGACCGTTTTACTGACCATGCATGTTATCTTGCTACCACGCATGTCCATGCATGTTATCTAGCTTGCTTGCTATCTTGTTATCAGCGGCCCGTTGTATATTTTGGCGGAGTGCCGAAAATGGTCCGCGTCATTATGGAGCGCGGTCGACGGCGCGAGTCCGCGATGGGTCCCACTATACTTCGTTTCAGCTTCGGTCCGAGCGCGGCCAATGTTATGAGCCGAATGGCCAATCAAACAGCGAAAGAGGCACAACGTCATGGCATGCTCTCTGCAGTTGATAGGACCAGCCGCTATTCGCCGTCTCTCTGTGCGCGCTCCTCCGCCGGCTATACTTCGTTTCAGCTTCGGTCCGAGCGCGGCCGATGTTATGAGCCGAAGGGCCAATCAAACACCGCAAAAAGCGCAGCGTCATGGCGTGCTCTCTGCGCTTGATAGACATAGCCGGCGGTGGAGCACGCAGAGAGAGACGGCGAATACCAGCTGGTCCTATCAACTGCAGAGAGCACGCCATGACGTTGTGCCTCTTTCGCTGTTGGATTGGCCCTTCGGCTCATAACATCGGCCGCGCTCGGACCGAACCTGAAACGAAGTATAGTTCTATCAAGCGCAGAGAGCCCACCATGACGGTGCGCTTTTTGCGCTGTTCGATTGGCCCTTTGGCTCATAACATCGGCCGCGCTCGGACCGAAGCTGAAACAAAGTATAGCAGCTATCGCTGTATCGCTGTAAAAAAAAGCAGGGCATAAAAAGACAAAACCGAGAAAATAAAAACGAGGGAGTTTCTTATGAAGCGACAACACACCATATCATCCATCTGTTTAAAGGGACCATGAAATTAATTTTGGGCCGAGATAAATTATTTTAGATTGGGATTTTACTAATCGCATATCGTAAGGGAGCCAAAGAAAGGGGATATAAAGTAAAAAGCCTGCTTCTCGGCACGAAAGTTTGAACGATTATTTCTTACCTCCTTTCCTTCGAAAGCTGAAGTAGGGTGGTGATTTGGGCCAGTTGGTAAGAGTTGAACATGATGAAAAACAGCCTCAGAAAAACAGGGACGAAGAACGAGTATAGAGAGGACAACGGCTGACTCGTAACTGAAGTTTATTGAAAGAAAAGTGATGAAAGAAACTTGTTAGAAAGATAACAGACATACAGATTAAAAACACACGCCCGCCAGGCGACCAGATGTGCAGATGCATCACTTCAAAACTTCACACTCATGTTGGATTGCAGATAGAGTACCTCCCTCTCAGAGAGCGCCGCCGATGGCTCACTGACACATCTGTCTGCCATCGAAGAGATTATGAAAGCTTTGATTATCTCTCCAGTCATTTTTTCCCTGTGTCTGCCCACGACAGTTACGTCAGCAAAAGAGGGGAGACAGGAACAATCTCTGCAATTTAGCGGTAGAAGCCCCCCTACCGTTGCTTTCAAGGAGTACGGGTGCTCTCTCAGCCTGTCGTTTAAACACCTTCCTGTCTGACCGACATAAGATCTTCCACAAGATAGGGGTATTCGGTAGACGACACCCGTTGTGCAAGTCACAAACGGGGTTTTGTGCTTCTTTGGGCACTGAAAATGACTCGAGAGATAATCGAAGCTTTCATAATCTCTTCGATGGCAGACAGATGTGTCAGTGAGCCATCGGTGGCGCTCTCTGAGAGGGAGGTACTCTATCTGCAATCCAACATGAGTGTGAAGTTTTGAAGCGATGCATCTGCACATCTGGTCGCCTGGCGGGCGTGTGTTTTTAATCTGTATCTGTGTTATCTTTCTATTCGCAACTCCAACGCCCTATAGGTGGCGGGGCGGTAGTTCCAAGATGGCGGAAGAGACGAGGATAGATTCTCCAGGATATCCCGTGTGCCTGCTTGCTGGCGCTGTTCATCGCGCTAAAAATGATTCATTTGTCTACAAATGCGAAGCGGTATAGGGGGGGAGGGGGGGGGGGGATCATATTAGAGGTGACCGAGATGCTG